CCTGACACGACAAAAAAAAAAAAAAAAAAAAACAACTTGTGGGTCCCCAGGTGTTTTGGCCTACAACTCTCAGAAATCTGAGTCAGTTTACTAGCTGTTAGGATTTCTGGGAGTTGAAGGCCAAAACATCTAGGGACCCACAGGTTTAGAACTACTGCTCCAGAGATTATTCAGGAAAGGCTGGATGGCCATCTGTTGGGAGTGCTTTGATTGTGTGTCGCTCTATGGCTAAGGGTTGGACTGTATGTGAGAGGAAGTCACAGGGAGGAGGGAGCAAGCTTGTTTTCTGCTTCCCTGGAGACTAGGATGCAGAACAATGGCTTCAAACTACAAGAAAGGAGATTCCGTCTGAACATTAGGAAGAACTTCCTGATTGTGAGAGCCATTCAGCAGTGGAACTCTCTGCCCCAGAGTGTGGTGGAGGCTCCTTCTTTATTTATTTATTTTATTTCACGCATTTCTACCCTGCCCTTCTCAACCCCCGAGGGGGGACTCAGGGCGACTTACAAAAGGCACAATTCGATGCCAACACAGACAATAAGATAAAAACATATATAACAGCAGTTATAAACAATTAAAACTATCAGTTATATATCACAATCAGTAAAACCAATCTTATGCTCAACGTTTGCCAGCTCAGAGTCCGTAAATTCATTCCACATTGTCAAATCCTATTAATTCTGGTCGTCATTGTCCTTTGTCTATTTGCCAGATTACCCAAAACGCCTGGTCTCATATCCACGTTTTTAATTTCCTTCTAAAAGAGAGGAGGGATGTCGATGACCTAATTTCCCCGGGGAGTGAATTCCACAGGTGAGGGGCCACCACCAAGAAGGCCCTTGCTCCTCGTCCCCACCAATCTCACTTGTGATAGCGGTGGGGTCGAGAGCAGGGCTTCCCCAGAAGATCTTAAATTCCGAGGCAGGACGTAGAGGGAGATACGTTCGGACAGGTACGCTGGGCCGGAGCCGTATAGGGTTTTGTAGGTCAAAACCAGCACTTTGAATTGTCCTCGGAACTGGATCGGTAGCCAGTGGAGCTGATATAACAGAGGTGTAGTATGCTCCCTGTATGACGCTCCGGTGAGTAATCTGGCTGCCGCCCGCTGGACTAATTGAAGTTTCCGAACAGTCTTCAAAGGCAACCCCACGTAGAGTGATATGAATAAACATAACAGTTTAAATAATGCACCAGTAAGGCCTTTTTGCGAACCATCATGAGAATGATGTCTGGGTCTGGAGAACAAGCCCTATGAGGAGCGGCTCAAGGAGCTGGGTATGTTTAGCCTGAAGAAGAGAAGGCTGAGAGGAGATATGATAGCCATGTATAAATATGAGAGGAAGCCACAGGGAGGAGGGAGCAAGCTTGTTTTCTGCTTCCCTGGAGACTAGGAGGAACAATGGCTTCAAACTACAAGAAAGGAGATTCCATCTGAACATGAGGAAGAACTTCCTGACTGTGAGAGCCGTTCAGCAGTGGAACTCTCTGCCTCGGAGTGTGGTGGAGGCTCCTTCTTTGGATGCTTTTAAACAGAGGCTGGATGGCCATCTGTCAGGGGTGATTTGAATGCAATATTCCTGCTTCTTGGCAGGGGGTTGGACTGGATGACCCATGAGATCTCTTCCAACTCTTTGATTCCATGAGGAAGAACTTCCTGACTGTGAGAGCTGTTCAGCAGTGGAACTCTCTGCCTCGGAGTGTAGTGGAGGCTCCTTCTTTGGAAGCTTTTAAACAGAGGCTGGATGGCCATCTGTCAGGGGTGCTTTGCATGCAATATTCCTGCTTCTTGGCAGGGGGTTGGACTGGATGGCCCATGAGGTCTCTTCCAACTCTTTGATTCTATGATTCTATGAGGAAGAACTTCCTGACTGTGAGAGCCGTTCAGCAGTGGAACTCTCTGCCCCGGAGTGTGGTGGAGGCTCCTTCTTTGGATGCTTTTAAACAGAGGCTGGATGGCCATCTGTCAGGGGTGCTTTGAATGCAATATTCCTGCTTCTTGGCAGGGGGTTGGACTGGATGGCCCATGAGGTCTCTTCCAACTCTTTGATTCCATGAGGAAGAACTTCCTGACTGTGAGAGCTGTTCAGCAGTGGAACTCTCTGCCTCGGAGTGTAGTGGAGGCTCCCTCTTTGGATGCTTTTAAACAGAGGCTGGATGGCCATCTGTCAGGGGTGATTTGAATGCAATATTCCTGCTTCTTGGCAGGGGGTTGGACTGGATGGCCCATGAGGTCTCTTCCAACTCTTTGATTCTATGATTCTATAGAAGAGAAATAACCCTGGAGCCGTTCAGCAGTGGATCTCTCTGCCCCGGAGTGTGGTGGAGGCTCCTTCTTTGGAAGCTTTTAAACAGAGGCTGGATGGCCATCTGTCAGGGGTGATTTGAATGCAATATTCCTGCTTCTTGGCAGGGGGTTGGACTGGATGACCCATGAGATCTCTTCCAACTCTTTGATTCCATGAGGAAGAACTTCCTGACTGTGAGAGCTGTTCAGCAGTGGAACTCTCTGCCCCGGAGTGTGGTGGAGGCTCCTTCTTTGGAAGCTTTTAAACAGAGGCTGGATGGCCATCTGTCAGGGGTGATTTGATGCAATATTCCTGCTTCTTGGCAGGGGGTTGAACTGGATGGCCCATGAGGTCTCTTCCAACTCTTTGATTCTATGATTCTATGAGGAAGAACTTCCTGACTGTGAGAGCCGTTCAGCAGTGGAACTCTCTGCCCGGAGTGTGGTGGAGGCTCCTTCTTTGGAAGCTTTTAAACAGAGGCTGGATGGCCATCTGTCAGGGGTGCTTTGAATGCAATATTCCTGCTTCTTGGCAGAGGGTTGGACTGGATGGCCCATGAGGTCTCTTCCAACTCTTTGATTCTATGAGGAAGAACTTCCTGACTGTGAGAGCCGTTCAGCAGTGGAACTCTCTGCCCCGGAGTGTGGTGGAGGCTCCTTCTTTGGATGCTTTTAAACAGAGGCTGGATGGCCATCTGTCAGGGGTGATTTGAATGCAATATTCCTGCTTCTTGGCAGGGGGTTGGACTGGATGACCCATGAGATCTCTTCCAACTCTTTGATTCTATGAGGAAGAACTTCCTGACTGTGAGAGCTGTTCAGCAGTGGAACTCTCTGCCTCGGAGTGTAGTGGAGGCTCCCTCTTTGGATGCTTTTAAACAGAGGCTGGATGGCCATCTGTCAGGGGTGATTCGAATGCAATATTTCTGCTTCTTGGCAGAATGGGGTTGGACTGAATGGCCCATGAGGTCTCTTCCAACTCTTTGATTCTATGATTCTATGAATGCAATTTTCCTGCTTCTTGGCAGGGGTTGGACTGGATGGCCCATGAAGTCTCTTCCAACTCTTTGATTCTATGACTGTGAGCTGGCCCTCTGTTTAAAAAGTTTGAGGACCCCTTCTGTGGGCCTTTCTTGGGACTGCCTGTCCTGTACTTGGGAGTGTGGTGGAGTCTGGCAGCTTTGGAAAGAGCTCTGGAAAGAGCCCTCCCTTCCACAATAGCAAAAAAATAAATCCAAATCCCCTCCAGTTTGTAAAATGTGGAAGGGAAAGGCGTAGTGGTAAGAACTGTTCAACTGTGGCATATGCTGCCTTGGGGCATAGGGGGTCTTTTTTCTCTAGGGCGCTGTTTCTCAACTTGTGGGTGGAGCCCCCGGTGGCGCAGTGGGTTAAACTCCTGTGCCGGCAGGACTGAAGACCGACAGGTCGCAGGTTCGAATCCGGGGAGAGGCGGATGAGCTCCCTCTATCAACTCCAGCTCTTCATGCGGGGACATGAGAGAAGCCTCCCACAAGGATGATAAAAAACATCAAATCATCTGGGGGTCCCCTGGGCAACGTCCTTGCAGACGGCCAATTCTCTCACACCAGAAGCGACTTGCAGTTTCTCAAGTCGCTCCTGACACGACAAAAAAAACCAAAAAAACCAAAAAAAAACTTGTGGGTCCCCAGGTGTTTTGGCCTACAACTCTCAGAAATCTGAGTCAGTTTACTAGCTGTTAGGATTTCTGGGAGTTGAAGGCCAAAACATCTAGGGACCCACAGGTTTAGAACTACTGCTCCAGAGATTATTCAGGAAAGGCTGGATGGCCATCTGTTGGGAGTGCTTTGATTGTGTGTCGCTCTATGGCTAAGGGTTGGACTGTATGTGAGAGGAAGTCACAGGGAGGAGGGAGCAAGCTTGTTTTCTGCTTCCCTGGAGACTAGGACGCAGAACAATGGCTTCAAACTACAAGAAAGGAGATTCCATCTGAACATGAGGAAGAACTTCCTGACTGTGAGAGCCGTTCAGCAGTGGAACTCTCTGCCCCAGAGTGTGGTGGAGGCTCCTTCTTTGGAAGCTTTAAACAGAGGCTGGATGGCCATCTGTCAGGGGTGCTTTGAATGCAATATTCCTGCTTCTTGGCAGGGGGTTGGACTGGATGGCACATGAAGTCTCTTCCAACTCTTTGTTTCTATGACTGTGACCTGGCCCTCTGTTTAAAAAGTTTGAGGACCCCTGCTATGGGCCTTTCTTGGGACTGCCTGTCCTGTACTTGGGAGTGTGGTGGAGTCTGGCAACTTTGGAAGGAGCTCTGGAAAGAGCCCTCCCTTCCACAATAGCAAAAAAATAAATCCAAATCCCCTCCAGTTTGTAAAATGTGGAAGGGCAAGGCGTGCAGTGGAGGAGAGAGGAAAACAACTCTGCAGAGGCTCCATCTCCCCTCCGCACGTGCTCCCCCCGGTTGCTGCCCTCCACCCCCGGATTGCCTTTTGTCCCAGAATAACCTTGACTGCCCCCTTCCTTGCCTTGCCTCCCCCTCCTTCCCTTCCTCCTTCCCTCCCTCCTTCCTTCTCTTTGGAGGCCAGGATCCAGCCGACTTCCTAAAGGCTTGCCTGCAAACAAACCCCAGGGAGCGGGGAGGCAAGGTTGCTTGCCAGGGAGCAGACATGAAAGGGTGCGAGTCCCTCCCCAGCACACACACACACAGACTCACAACCACACACTCAGCCTACAGTAGAGAGGCCCCTCCCACGTCCTGTCTCATCCTTCTGTCTACCCTCCTAATTATTGGCCTGGGAGGGGCCAAGGTTTTAAAAAGGATTTCCCTTCTTTGACTAAAAGTCAGTGACTTTAGGTGGTAAGTTCCCAAGCTCAGAGTCTTGGCAGCTGGAGGAGACAAACTCCCTTGCTTGCTCCCTCTTCTCCTTGCTCTCGCTTTCTTTCTTTCTCTTTCCTTCCTTTCTTTCTTTCAAGGTGGAATTATCACAGCAAAGACCTGTCGGCCAGGACTTCTGTCCCAGGAATGTCCCCATGGCTAGGTAAGTTGGAACAAAAATAGTTTTCTTCTGTTTTTTTAGCAACATATTGATCTCTCTTTCAGGATATTTTTGTGTAAGTTTAGTTTGCTCCCCATAGCATACTGGGTGGTATTTGGTTTCATGGCAAAGGGGCTTCTGAGTCATAAATCCTTATCCATTACGCCTCAAGAGTGGCTGGGAATGAAGGACTTCATGCAAGACTTGTTGGCACAGGCCAGGAGTCTGTCCATGGATAAGGTGAATTCGGTGCCTGGCAGCCCATCATACCCCTTCACTCGGCATACTGTTCACTGGCGAGAAGAACCATCAAAGTTGGCGAAACTCAATCCTTATTGACTTAGCCCCGAACAGAAGCTTGAGAGGGTTTCTCCTTGAACTTGCGCTGCTCCTTTCGGCTGTTAGGTGCCCACATGGATTGGTTTTTTGGTAGTACCCTATGACACCCTATGACACATTTTTTTGTCGTGTCAGGAGCAACTTGAGAAACTGCAAGTCACTTCTGGTGTGAGAGAATTGGCCATCTGCAAAACCCATTAATCCTTACTGACTTAGCTCCAAATAGAAGCATGAGAAGGTTTCTCCTTGAATTTGGCTAACACTGCGCCTTTCGGCTGTTAGGTGCCCACATGGATTGGTTTTTTTGGTAGTACCCTATGACATTTTTGTGTGTGTGTCAGGAGCAACTTGAGAAACTGCAAGTCGCTTCTGGTGTGAGAGAATTGCCCATCTGCAAGGACGTTGCCCAGGGGACGCCCAGATGTTTGGATGTTTTACCATCCTTCTCTCATGTCCCCGCATGGGGAGCTGGAGCTGATAGAGGGAGCTCATCCGCGCTCTCTGTGGATTCAAACCTGCGACCTGTTGGTCTTCAGTCCTGCTGGCACAAGGGTTTAACCCACTGTGCCACTGGGGGCTCCTACACATTAATCCTTATCAACTTAGCTCCAAATAGAAGCATGAGAAAGTTTCTCCTTGAATTTGGCTAACACTGCTCCTTTCGGTTGTTAGGTGCCCACATGGATTGGTTTTTTTGGTAGTACCCTATGACCCCACCCATTTTTTCGTATCAGGAGCAACTTGAGAAACTGCAAGTCGCTTCTGGTGTGAGAGAATTGCCCATCTGCAAGGCCGTTGCCCAGGGGACGTCCAGATGTTTTACCATCCTTGTGGGAGGCTTCTCTCATGTCCCCGCATGGAGAGCTGGAGCTGATAGAGGGAGCTCATCCACACTCTCCCTGGATTCGAACCTGCGACCTGTTGGTCTTCAGTCCTGCTGGCAGAAGGGTTTAACCCACTGCACCACTGGGGGCTCCTACCCATTAATCCTTATTGACTTAGCTATAATAATATATTGTATATACATATAATATTTATAATATTATAATGTAATGCTATATAATACTAATTATAATATGATTGTTGTTCATTCGTGACCCTTCGTAATATATGATATTATATTATATATCATATCATATATTATATTATATATATTATATATATATATATTTATATGACATGTAATATTACTAATAATATTACAATATAATGGCATAGTACAATATAGTGGAGCCCCCGGATGGCGCAGTGGGTTAAAGCCCTGTGCCGGCAGGACTGAAGGCCGACAGGTCGCAGGTTCGAATCCGGGGAGAGGCGGATGAGCTCCCTCTATCAGCTCCAGCTCCTCATGCAGGGACATGAGAGAAGCCTCCCCAAGGATGATAAAAACATCAAATCATCTGGTGTTCCCTGGGCAACGTCTTTGCAGACGGTAACTTCTCTCACACCAGAAGCGACTTGCAGTATCTCAAGTCGCTCCTGACACACACAAAAAGTACAATATAGTAATATTTAATACTGATATTGTACTATGCTAATAATATAATATATTGTATGGATATATATCTTGTAAGCCGCTCTGAGTCCCCTTCGGGTGAGAAGGTGGCAGATAAATGTCGTAAATAAACAAATAAGCTCCAAATAGAAGCTTATTGAATTTGAATGAATTTGGCTAACACTTCTCCTTTTGGCTGTTAGGTGCCCACATGGGTTGGTTTTTGGGTGGTACCTTCTGCTCTCACCCACTTAATCCTTATTGACGTAGCTCCGAACAGAAGCCTGAGAGGGTTTCTCCTTGAACTTGAATGAATTTGGCCCAACTCTGCTCCTTTCTGCTGTTACGTGCCCACATGGATTGGTTTAACCCTGCAAGGAAGGCACCTGCCCGCTGAACAAAACAACAGGCCTTTTTGGTTTTTTGATTTTTTAAAATCAAAGCCCTGCTTGGGTGGAAATCTACACTAATCTGATCGAAAATTGCTTTATCGTGGCCAAATTTGGCAATGTGGCACAGCTGTTTGGAGGGACGGTGCATTTTCTAGCATGCCGTTCTGTTACCCGTGGCACTTTCACCAACTATCAGCTCATTCTTTTTGAGTGACTTGCATGATGGGTTATGAAAAGGAGAAAAAAAAGCTTTTTTTAAAAAAAAAACGAGGCCCAAAAGGACTTGTTAACATTTGCTTGAAGAGGAAGAGGGCGTTGGCAAAGAACCTGACCTTCCCGGCAAATCTGGCAAACGAACACTCGCATACACATACGTCTACGGACATAATTTTGGCTGGGAGTGCTGAGTGGTTCCCCCCCCCCTTCCTCGTCTCCTTTGAGGTTGTGTGACCGCCCACAGCTAAGTTATATAAGGACAATTGGAACATGATGAGACATTAGTTTTGGGTGGGGGCAGAGTGGTACCCTCAAAATGGCACCAGTCATCCTCTGCCTGGCTCACGCCCGTTTGGGATAGAGTGATTCATTCTTTCCTGCTCGATTCACTTCTCTGTTTTCCGCGCGAAATCGCTCTTCTGCTGGGAACGACCGTTCTTTGCAAATTTCATTGCCACTCCCTCTCATATTTTCCATTCTTGGAGCCCAGTCGTGCTTGTTGATAGTAGATCTGTGGCATGGCTGGGGTGCCCAGGGATTTGACAAAAGCAAGTGAAAGATCTCGGTTTTTCTCTATCTAGAAACTGACATGTAAAGGCCTTCTGGACTTTTTATTTTTGGGGTGATCCTTCAGATAATATGGTTAAGAATCCAAGCATCTAAGCCTCAAAACAATGGGACAGACATAATCCACCAATGCTTTTATCTTGTGCAAATCTGACCAAATCCACTCAAATTAGGCTTGCAGAAGAAAATGTTCTCCATTGGAAGCCAAATACGTGAGATCTCTGAATCCTTTAATGGACTCACAATGCTGCTTCGCCATTTTGCTGTATGGTTAGGTTGCTTCTGTTCACGAGAATATTCGTTCTTCTGGGAAAAGCTCCCATAGTGCTCCCCCCTCCAAATTGGTTTGGGGCCGCTCTGATGTGGGACAGACGGACAGTGTTTAAATATTTCCATTGGCCCATTTTAAAAATTGAAATCACACTCGTTCCTTCAAAGTTGCGCTCAGTTTCCTTGGGATTATTCCAGATTGTTCTCAAGAAGCATGAGCTCTCACGATAAAGTCTTTGTTTTTGCAGGATTTTATTGGTTGTTGTCACCCCCACGTCTATTCTTTCTGGGCTGCTTTTAGCAATTTCTTGGAATTGCTCTTTTCGGGGTCTGTTTTTTTGGTGATTTCTTAGGCCTGCTTTGTGCTTTTAAAACCAAGGCATAGTTTGGATAATTGGTCTTTGAAGAATATGTTTTTTTTTTCCATTTGACTTTTTACGAGTACTATATTACCAAAGTAACATTTCATTGATGCACTGTAACTGTGTGTCTGTCTGTCTATATATATATATCTATATAAATAAAAATGTAATGTTCGTTTGTGGGATTTTTTTGTTGTGTCAGGAGCGACCTGAGAAACTGCAAGTCGCTTCTGGTGTGAGAGAATTGGCCGTCTGCAAGGACGTTGCCCAGGGGACGCCCGGATGATTTGATGTTTTTATCATCCTTGTGGGAGGCTTCTCTCATGTCCCCGCATGAGGAGCTGGAGCTGATAGAGGGAGCTCATCCGCCTCTCCCCAGATTCGAACCTGTGACCTGTCGGTCTTCAGTCCTGCAAGCACAGGGGTTTAATCCACTGCGCCACCGGGGGCTCCTGTTTGTGGGATTAACAGAACCCAAAAACCACTGGACGAATTGACACTAAATTTGAACACAGGACACCTAACAACCCAATGTATGTCCTTCACTCAAAAAATTTGATTTTGTCATTTGGGAGATGTAGTTGCTGGGATGTATAGTTCAACTACAATCAAAGAGCATTCTGAACTCCACCAATGATGAAATTGAACCAAACATGGCATACAGGACTCCCATGAGCAACATAAAACACTGGAAGGGTTTGGTGGGCAGTGTCCTTTGGTTTTGGAGTTGTAGTTCACCTACATCCTGAGATCACTGTGGACTCAAACAATGATGGATCTGGACCAAGCTCTACACAAATACTCAATATGCCCAAATGTGAACACTGGTAGAGTTTGGGGGAAATAGAATCTTGACATTTGGGAGTTGTAGTTGCTGGGATTTATAGTTCACCTATAATCACAGCACATTCTGAACCCCACCAACGATAGAATTGGGCCAAACCTCCCACACAGAACCCTCATGTGGGCCACAGCAACAAATGGCAGGGGACGGCTAGGATCAAAGGATACTATATCGTTCTGATATGCCATTGAATTAAAAAGAAACCCACTCGAGGATGGGAATACAACGTTGCAGCTGTTGCTAGGAATTGCTAGAACATAATCTAGAACAACAGATTTATTGTCTGGATAGTTTAAAAAAAACACTGAAGCTTTCTGATACATTTACTTCATCTGGAGGAGGCAAATCTAAAAAAAATCTGGATTTTTTAAACCTAGTTCTCCCTGCTGTGTTATATCTTGGAGATTTCTGTTTTGGTGTGTGCCCTCGTGTCTTGTCATTATTTTGCATTCCTAGACCTCGACTTGATGCCAGATAATGTCCTTAATGCCATATTCCTTCGAAATAAAAATACAGAA